AGGTACAGGTGCAGAAAGAATCATGATGAGTGTTTCAGGATGAAGGAACATGGTATGCTTGAAAAAGTACAACTGGTATTTGAGGGAAGTGTGAGAAATGAGACTACAGGGGCAGGCAAGGCTCTTTGGAGGAAAAGGCTGATGTTTGCCTCACAGAAGTTTTTATTATACTATAAGGAGCAAACTTTTTCTTTCTCATAGAAAGTGGATTATAACTCTTTACCATCTTAGTCAGCATTCTCTAACTCCCTTAAGGTCTTAGCATGAGAAAAATCTATAGTACTTTAAAAATATCCAGCTAGGAGATTTTGCCCCTCATCCATTCTAGGAGGAAATAGCAGATCAGTAGACAGGAGTTTGAAAAGATACTATACAGTATTTGGTAACAGACATAAATGATGAAAGCTTCTACTTGGAGATCTTTAAAAATAGGATACTTCCCCAGGCATAAACTTATTCTTTCCCTAACATCCCTGAGGGAGTTAACGAGTAACATTAGACTTTCTGAATAGTCCAGAGGCCCAATGCACGAAATCCATGCAAGGGCCTTGGCCACACCGCTGCCTCAGCCCCAGCCCACTGCAGCTTTGTCTGAAGGATGTCCGGTCTAATTAGTATATTATGCTTTTATTATTATTGGTGATAAAACTGATGTACAGAGAAATTAAAGAGCAAGTTAGGTCTCCAATTGGCCAGGTCTCCAATTCAGATCATCTGTCTCCCAAGTCCTGCCTCCTTAGCATATTCACTGAGTCTGGGGAAACCCTGGAAGCCTGAAGAGGCGAGCTGGTGTAAAGGGATGCCTGAAATATAAGGAAAGGACTTGGGCAAAAGTCATCAAAGAAGGAAAAATCTGGGGTATTATAAACCAAAATGACCATGACAAACTGATAATTTCCTGAAATTCTTTTTTTTTTTTTAATATATTTTATTGATTTTTTACAGAGAGGAAGGGAGAGAGATAGAGAGCCAGAAACATCGATGAGAGAGAGTCATCGACCAGTTGCCTCTTGCACACCCCCTACCGGGGATATGCCCGCAACCAATGTACGTGCCCTTGACCAGAATCAAACCTGGGACCCTTCAGTCCGCAGACCGACACTCTACCACTGAGCCAAATCGGTTTCTGCCATTTCCTGAAACTCAAGAAACCTCAAAAAATAGTTGAGTGGCTCTATGAAAAGAGCACTTAACCAAGAATCAGATTTTGGTTTTATGTCCAGCTCTCCAATTAAACAGTCATGTGTCCTTGGCAAATAACTTCAGAATTCTGCACTTTGGTCTACTAATCTGAAAAATGGAAATAAAGCCCTATCCTGACCATCTTATAAAGCTGTTGTGAGGTTCCAATGAGATAGCAGATGAGAAAAGATTTTTTTAAAAAACATCAACAAATTGGCTCTGGCTGGTGTGGCTCAGTTGGTTGGAGTGTCTTCCCATGTACCAAAGGAGTGTGGATTCGAATCCTGGTCAGGGCATATACCAAGGGTGTGGGTCCAATCCCTGGTTGGGGCGTGTACAGGAGGTAACCAATCAATGTTTCTCGCCCAAATCAATGTTTCTCTCTTTCAAAGATAAAACAAATCAACAAATTGAAACTATAAGCAATTTAAAACTCTTGTTTCTCTTATTCAAAAGAGCAGTACCTGAAATTTAAATACAGAAAACAGTAAGATCTTTTGCTCCCAAAAGTAGTTAGACTAAGTTTTTCTTAGCTTCTAACCTGAAGATTACACTTGATCTCCAAGTTAGAGAGAGAAGTTTAATACTTTTCACTGTGAAAGAAGTAGATTGACATACTTGCTCATAATCAATCTCATGGCTGGCAGTATCTATGCTGTCCTAGGTCCTTGAATCAGGACAGTGTTTCTCATCAGGGGTGAATTTCCTCCACACAGGACATTTAGCAATGTTTGGAGACACTTTTGGCTGTCACAATTTTGGGAGAGATGCCACTAGCATCTACTTGATAGAGGCTAGGGATGCTGCTAAACATCCTATAATGAACAGGATAGTATAGCTTTCCCCCCTTTGCCCCCTCCCCCCCAAAAGAATCATCTGGCCCAAATGTTAATAGTCTCCTTATTGAGAAACCTGGTCTAAAAGAACAGAGCTAGTTTATTTCCCACTCAGCGGTCATAGGGGCACAATGAAAAACTGAGTTGCCAACCAGCATTAGTGAAGAACAAAAAATGTCAATTTGAGAGAAACAGAGCCTTATCAATTAATTCCATCATTTCTTGGTATGTCATAAAAACCTTTTTCCTTTTCTTTAATATATTTTTATTGATTTTTTACAGAGAGGAAGGGAGAGAGATACAGAGTAGAGAGTTAGAAACATCGACAAGAGTCATCGATCAGCTGCCTCTTGCACACCACCTACTGGGGATGTGCCCGCAACCAAGGTACATGCCCTTGACTGGAATCGAACCCGGGACCTTTCAGTCCGCAGGCCGATGCTCTGTCCACTGAGCCAAACCGGTTTCGGCAAAACCTTTTTCTTTTTTAAAAAGCTATGAATAGCTATATTTTTAATAGTTTCTACTGTTCAATAATCTCAGTGCCACTTCTTTACACAACATTCTCTAGAGAGCTCTTTTGTTTTTTGTTTTTTATTCCCATTCTTCACCCCATAGACATTCTAATGTGTTTAAATTTATTTTTTATTTTTTGGTGGTGGCTGTTAATCCTCACCTGAGAATATTTTCCCATTGATTTTTAGAGAGAGTGGAAGGAAGTGGGAGAGATAGAGAGGGAAACAATGTGTAAGAGACAAATTGGTTGCCTCATGCCAGAGCTTGCAACTAAGGTGCATGCCTTTGACCAGACTCAAACCTGGGAGCCTTAAATCTGCAGGCCGATACTCTTATCCACTGAGTTAAATCAGCTATGGCAAGATGTATATATTTTTTGTATCTGTTCTGACAAATTGTATTTTTTGTGTGCATGTATTTTAAATTTATTATTGGCATTGTGTTGTGTATCTTTCTGTTTGTTACTTTAAAAATATATATATTTTATTGATTTTTTTACAGAGAGGAAGGGAGAGGGATAGAAAGCTAAAAACATTGAGAGAAACATCCATCAGCTGTCTCCTGCAGACCCCCCACAGGGGATGTGCCCACAACCAAGGTACATACCCTTGACAGGAATCGAACCTGGGACCCTTCAGTCAGCAGGCCAGCGCCCTATTCACTGAGCCAAACCGGCTTCAGCTGTTTGTTACTTTTTCACTGATCTGCAGTTACAGTTACCTATAGTCAATACTGATGCAAAAATATTAAATGGAAAAGTCTAGAAATAAATAATTCATAAAATTTAAATTGTGCTGTTCTAAGTAGTGTAATTGTAGAAGTTACTTTAGATTAATCTATTGTCAGTTTTTTTCCTAAATTTTCTTAATGTTTTTATTGATTATTTTAGACAGAGAGGAAGGGAGAGGGATAGAGAGATACAAACATTGATGAGAAGAGGAACATTTATCAGTTGCCTCCTGCATGCCCCCTATTGGGGATTGAGCCCACAATCCAGGCATGTGCCCTGACTGGGAATTGAACTGGTGACCTCTTGGTTCACGGGTTCAGGCTCAACTACTGAGCAACTCTGGTTTAGCTCTCTTTGTCAGATTTAATCATTCCTAACCTCCCATTCTTTTATCATTTAACACTGCCCATGGTAATCCTTTACTGAACAAAAACCCTTAATATAATTAAATTTATCAAGTTTTATCCTATTTACCTACATATTTTTATTATCTTTTTAATTTTACTTTCCCTAATCAGATCTTTATATCTGATAACCAAGATGGCTACAATTTTCTTCTAGGTTTTCTAATTTGTCGGCATACATGGAATATCTTTTCCCATCTTCTTACTTTCAATCTCTGTGTCTTTGTATCTAAAGTGAATTTCTTATAGCCCTGACTGGTATTGATCAGTGGTTAGAGCATTAGCCCACACACCAAGGGGTCCCAGATTCAATTTCCAGTCAAGGACACATACCTGGGTTACAGGTTTGATTCTTGGCCCTAGTCAGGGTTCCTGTGGGAGGCAACCAGTCAATGTGTCTCTCTTATGGTCAATGCTTCTCTCCCCTCCAGTCTCCCCCGACTCCTTCCCGCCCCCCTACTCTCTCTAAAAAGCAATGGAGCTGAAACCAGTTTGGCTCAGTGGATAGAGCATCAGCCTGTGGACTGAAAGGTCCTGAGTTTGATTCCGGTCAAGGGCATGTACCTTGGTTGTGGGCACATCCCCAGTGGGGGGGGGTGCAAAAGGCAGCTGAACAATGTTTCTAACTTTCTATCCCTCTCTCTTCCTCTCTGTAAAAACTCAATAAAATATATATTTAAAATAAATAAATAAATAGCAATGGAAAAAAATATCATGAGGTGACGATTAACAAAATAAATAAATAATAAAATAAAGTGTGTCTCTTACAGACAACATTTAAATGAATCAGTGATTTTTTTCATGGTGATTTTTTTAATACAATCTACTAATTTCTGTCTTTTAATAGAAATTAATCCATTTACATTTAAAGCAATTGCTAATAAGGATTTACTTCTGTCATTTATGAGTATTCCTCTGTATGTTTTTATTCTTCATTTCCTCCATACTACTTTTTTTTAAAAAATTAATCTAAATCCAACCTATAAGATTTATTGGAGGCTTCACCTTCCCAGTCAAGTGATCACTTCTCCCTCTATTTCAATAGTTCCTAATGAATATCTCCTTCATGAATATGTCCCAAAATATTTAAAAGGAAGGGCCTACCTTTTCTGGCCATAAAAGTAGTCTCAGGTTTTTCCCTGTTTTCACCCTCTGAATCACTTGCACCTTAAACACATACCCACCATACAGAATTCACCATTCATAAATGAAGTTCATTATCATTGTCCATTCTCTGCCTACATGTGGCTTGGCTTAGGCTGGGTCCCAGAATACTTAGGAAGGGTCTCTTGGTTACTGGCAGACAAAGAAGAGAGAGTCAAAATGGCTTACATTGTAGGAGCGAGGATGCCTCTGCTTCCACTGCACCAGGAGCAGCTGGGCCACCACCAAGGTAGCGATGAGGATGAGGACCATTTCGGCATGCATGGCTTCGTGACCACGGTGCTTGGCATGCATGCGTGCATGCTCGATCCTGAAAGTCAAACAGATGGGGTTATCCAGTTAGGGCTGGTGTGGTGGTAAAGAGGTAGTGCTTCCCAGGGACATTCTACCCGACCAAAGTTCAGAACACACTCCTGTATTTTGCAGCTGCAGGTTACTATGTATGCATATGCCCTAGAGCAGCGATCTAGGAGCAACCGCTGCTCCAAAGTTTTCCTTAAACCAGCAGTCACCAACCTTTCGGACCTCATGGATCACCCGTGGTCCACGGACCACTGGATGGCGACCGCTGCCCAAGAAGACAGGCATTCTGGCATAGAATAGGGGTTCCATGGGCCCCAATAACCAAGCTCAGCAATTGGATTAAATGTGGGTGGTGTGCTGCCTCCCTCCAATGGTAGATACAGCTGACACCTTTCCAGTTGCAGGAAAATATCCAAGAAGCCCGTGTCACTACCCATTTCAGACCTATTTAATTCTGTCATTGAAAAGAAAACATAACCCAAAAAGAAGACTGTAGCCACAAAGCCTCATAATCTTAGTATTTATGATACCAATAAAGGAGTAGCACTGCAAACGTGTTAATTCTAGGGTTAAAGTTTTGCTTTATTTGTCCTACCCTGTCAAGACTAGGGATCCTGAAGACTATTTACAGCCTGAAAAATCTAGATTGCTTTGACTTTATATTAATTCAAGAGTAACTTCACCATCAGCATCCACAGGGAAATAGCCTCAAGGACTTAAGAAACTCTTATTTAATCTCAGACTGGCATTCTCTTGTCCTGAGTATTGGTAGCAAATTATTTCCTTGGTCAATACAGGCAAAAAGTTTTTCCTAAGTACAGAGAAGAATAGTTACTCCCATTACTTTGGGTCAGAGTCAGTCAAGGGAAAAGAATAAGGAAGAATTTAGTCAGAAAATCAAATACAAATATAGCCTGTGGTCAGGAGCTTTTGTACAAGTTTTCCATGTATAGGGAGGAGAATTAGGGAGGGAAGGAAAGAACAACCTAAATGCTATCTTCATGGAGTTCCCGAGGGCAAGAAGAACCCAGCGGGGTGAGTTATGGGTAAATGATAAAGCAAATATAGCAAAACAGTAATTGTAGAATCTACATGGTGAGTGTAAGGGTGTTCACAGTGCATTTCTGTCATACTTTCTGTATGTCTAACATTTTTCATAATACAATGTTAGGGGCTAATACTCAGTGGGCAGCCAAATGTCAGTCAGCCAGCCAGCCACAGCACCTAAGGGTGCACTTTACATAAAACACTATCCTGGGTGAGAGACTCTGACAAAAAGATGATAAGGTTATGAGTAAGAAACTTTAACCAGTTAACTGCCACAATACTTTGAATTTAATTTAAAAAGGTCTGCCGCTTGCAGATGTCTATAGACATTTATGGCGTACAAATGGTTAAGGTTGTGGCCTTGACCAAGAAAATTAACAACTCTACATCACATTTCTTCATCTGTCAAAAGGAGTCCATATCTTTTCTGCCTCCCTCACAGGCTTATTGTGAGAATAAGCTAAACTAAAAGGACAAGTAACACTTTAAATACCTAAGGACTGTGGGGAATAATAAAGATAAGAAATGCATTTCTTGTTCTCAGACAATATATAAATTAATGGATGTGCACAATGAAAGAATCTAGAAAAGACCAAAGAAAACATCTATTTCAAGTTCTCACTCAATGAAAAAATTATTTTTGATATCCTTTGTATGGAATACTTCCATTGGCTTGAGAACATATGCCTCTTAAAGTAATCTATTCTAGAACTAGCAGTGTCTGACACATTGTATAATAGGTACTTATATGTACTTATGAAGGACTAACACTTCAATGCTTTAAGAGGTAGGAGGGCCCTAGCTAGTTTGGCTCAGTGGATAAAGCATCGGCCTGCAGACTGAACGGTCCTGGGATCAATTCTGGTCAAGGGCACAAGCCCGGGTTGTGGGCTCAATCCCCAGTAGTGGTGTGCAGGAAGCAGCCAATCAGTGATTCTTGCTCATTATTGATGTTGAGAATCCCTTCCTCTCTGAAATCAATAAAAAGGCGGAAGGTTCTCTATCTGTCAATATACCATGATTATTAAAAATGTTTCTGATAATAATACAAAATCTATCTTTCTATAGCTCCAATGTATTGGCCCTAAACCTATGTTCTGGAACAATAAAGGGCATATCTACTTCTCTTTTCCAATGATGCCCCTTCAAAGATTTCTCATGATCTTATTTTTTAAAAACAAAACCAAAAACTATCCTGTTCCTATCACCATTTTACTAGCCTTTTTAGTTCTAGATATTTATTTGATTTATTTTTAGTTCTAGATCTTGTAAACACTATTAATAAAACATAATGTGAAGATCATTAATCCTGGATTCCTTCTTTGAGACATTACCTAGCCAAAGATCTTCTTATACTGTAGTGTCTACAACATCCAGGGTGGCCTCAGTGTAGCAGAGCACAATGGCACTGTCCCTACGTTAAGGCTGATAACATATTTCTATGAACATCTTCCAGATGATCTGAATTATTTCAGTAGCTGAGGTACACAACTGGTGCATATTAAGCTTAAAGTCATCTAAAATCTTAAAGTCATCATATGACAAGTTGGGCTTGTCATATGAGTTAATATTTTTGCCATTATATATTTTTACAATCAACAGTTTTAATTTAAAACGTTTTTTTTCCTCATTATTATGTTTTATTTGATTGACTTCAGCTCACTGGTCAGCCATCTTGTGAAGTTTGTGGGGCAATCACTCTGAAACTCCTTTACTAATTAGAAATCATGACAATAAGATATTTATTGGCCCACTCTGGGTACACAGCAAGTTGAGAGCTCCTATTTTCTCAATCAGATCCCTCTGCCCTGTTTGATGTATAATGATAATAAACATCTTCAAAGTAGGTAGAGCTCACCACATGCCAGGCACTGTTGTAAGAATTTTATATATATTAATCCTCTCAACTCTATGAGGTACAGGTACTATTTTGATCCACACCTGACAAAGGAAAAAAACCTGTCCAAGATCACATAGCTAGGAAATGGTACAACTAGTATTAAAACCCAGGTGGATAGTCTGGTACATTTATGCATTTGCTTCCCAGGAACAAGGGAGCTACCCAGAAGTGACCCTGTACTGGAAAAAAATCCCCAAAGACCTAGCCTACTGGTCATGAGTCACTATCTCCCACAGACAAGGAAACAAAAAGAATAGATATACAACTCTACTAGTTGGATTACCCGATAGTCCCCACCTTGAGGGGCCCACATTGTCACACTTACCTCCATTGCTCCTCTGGCGAGAGGTGTGACATATCAACCTGTAGAAAGACACCACCAAAAAAATCCATTACTGTCTTAGGCTATACCTGACCAAAATAAGGTGCTTACACATTCATCAATATCCGCCAAGGAATTACAGGTAGTTTTAAGTGCCACAATTTCTATGAAGCCTTCCCTATACTCTATTCCCCACTGATCTCTCCCTTCTAGAACTAACCAGTAACTCTGGTTCATGTCTATGACTGACATTGCTTTGCATGTCTGTGCTAAGCAATAAGGACAAAAGAATGAATCCAATTCCCAAGATTCTCACAGATATGAGATAAAAACATAGTATTTCTTTATGGATATTAAAGACTAGCTATGGAAGAAGGAAAAAAAGGGGGACTTTTCATCCAACCTGTGGTGTGACAGATCAGTGAAAACTTCCTGGAGGTGAGATGTGAAATACTACCCAGATGAGGAAATTAGAGAAATATGTTCCAGGAAAAGGACTAACATAACCATGAAGTTATAAAGCATACAAACAATTGAGTATGGGGGTGGGGTTCCTCTGCCTGGCTGGTGATCAGGGCTGATCAGGGCCATCTCACCCAGTCCCGATTGGGCTGGTGCTGGGGAGGGCTCCAGGGCTTATCCAACCCATCTTGCCCAGTCCTTATTGGCTGGACCCCAGCAGCAAGTTAATCTACCAGTCATAGCATCTGCTCCCTGGTGGTCAGTGCACGTCATAGCAACCAGTCAGTCAACCGATAGGACACTTAGCATATTGGACTTTTATATACACTGAGTGGCCAGATTATTATGCTCTCTGAACGCAAAATAATCTGGCCACTCAGTGCATATGTGTGTGTGTTTTATGTATATGTATATGTATATGTATATGTATATGTATATGTATATGTATGTGTATGTGTATGTGTATATGTATATGTATATGTATATGTATATGTATATGTATATGTATGAGGCCCGGTGCATGAATTTGTGCATGGGTGAGGTCCGGCCAGCCTGGCCAGAGGGAGGGGACATGGGCAGTTGGCCAGCCTGCCTGCTGGTGGAACTCCTGGTCAAGGGGACAATTTGCATATTAGCATTTTATTATATAGGATATACACTGAGTGGCCAGATTATTATGTGTTCAGAGATCATAATAATCTGGCCACTCAGTGTATAGAGATTGTAACTCACTGGTGGTCCATGAGGTCCAAAAGGTTGGCAACTGCTGCTCTAGTTTCCCCAAGAGAACACGCTAGGTGAGATGAACAGTGAAACTTAGCCCATGTGATATGTCTTCATTCCTTGGGGTTTAACTCATTCCCACATTTTACCACAAGAAATGGTTTCAGGGCAACAACTACCTTTCTCAGTGAAGAAAAAACAGTTGTAGGTCCTAATCTGGTATGGCTAGTTATTTGATTTATTCCAAAGAACAGGGTACTTCTCTCCATGCCTCAGTTTCCCCACATATAAAATGAGGGAGGGGATTGGCTTAGATGATTTTCAAAGTAGTAATTCAGACCAAATCTGTCTAACTCCAAAGCTTTGAAGTTAGTTATAACACTCTGGCTTTCCAAACTTCCAGTTTATTTAGTTCCACAGAAGTTAAAGCAAAATGCCTTCAGTGTTGTGAGCTGTGATATGACAGGCTGTGACCAAATTAAATTAGTGAAAGAGTACCAAGTGACTACTATATGCATCCATCATTCAGGGGATGGCCCCTTGCTCTGGTTTCAAGTACCTGCTAACTGCAAAGGGGTCTAAACTCTGGAACTCCATCCACCAGGACAACCTAGCATTTCAGAGGTCTCAGTTGATCCTTCCAAAAGTTAAAGACTGATCAGCTTTGCGGCTAGAGACCTCATTCTTTCACAAAACATTAGAGATGACTAAGTCCAACCTTTGCTCTTGAGGTATTCACAGTCGGAGGAAGAGGGACAGGCTATTAAACATAATATGATAAGGATAACACTGACATATAAACAAAATGCTGTGTAAGCACAGAGAAAGGAAAAGATTAGCTAGCTTCTAAACCTGGTATGAATACAGCACAACAACCAGGCTAACTGCCTCTATCTTGTGGACAAAGATACTGTGATCTGCTGTGTAACTGGAATGACAAGTGAAGTCCAAAGGTTCACAGGCTACCCATATTTGTGGCTCCCCGTTCTCCTCTCATTCACATTTTTCTCCAGCTCCTTAGACTTGCCAAGAATGCAAGGCCAACAAATCAAAGTAGAACTACCTACCTCACTTTTCAGAACTCATAAATCATCTGGGGATCATGCTTAGCCAAACGGAAAGGCCTAACATGGACAGTACACTCTGGGCAGTGAAGTGAAAGTAGATGCTAGCTACTGTGGCCGTAGTAACTACTACGGCTGCTGTCTGCCCTCTACCCCCACCCTCCTACCAACACAAGACAGCACATCCTCCAAGCAGCTGAGATGCAAAGCTTCTTAAAATGAAACTCTTCAAATATATACAAAAGTAGAAGAAATGGTTTAATGACCTCTCTCCCATTCAACAATTATCAAATTTGGGGGCCTAACATTGGCTTTTTTGATTCTTCAATGCCTATCCTATCAAATTTGTTATTTCCCAGACTGGCTTCCTCTCCACCTGGTCCTCCTCTCTCACTCTTTCCCATATGCACACCAGCTTCCCACACATTCTACACTTTTCTATCCATCCATAAGAACCAATCCAGACGTCACCTCTTCCAGAAACCCTTTCAGAACAGAATTATCCTTTCTAAGAAGTCCTAATCTGGACTATTCAGGCATTGATCACATTAACTCACCTAGGAAATCGCTCTTGAACTTTTCATTGCCACACCGCCTTAGTATAGACTTTATCCTTGCTCTCTCCTAGACTAATGCAGTGACTTTCAAGGTGATCTCTCTAACTCTGATCTTGCCAGAACAGATTCATAACAAAGAAGCAGCCACAGTGATCTTTATCAGACACATATGACTGTATCCTTGACCAATTCTGATAACCTTCTATTACCTTCGGCTTAAAGTCCAAACTCCTTTGCATGACACGGAAGGTACTTCATAATTTGGTCCAACAACTTATCTCCCCACTCCCCACCAAATGGCTTACACTCTAGCCACACTGAACTGCCTACCATTCTTCCCTTCTATCCCTCACTGCTTCTATAAAAGCTGCTACTGTCTTCTCCCACTAGAATTCTTTCCTCACCTTCACCGCCTAGTTAATTTCTATTCACTCTTTAAAATGCAGCTTAAATATCAATTCCCTCGTGAGACATTCTCCAACTATTCATTCACACATCCATTTGACAACTGTTAACTGATCAGATGTTAAGCTCTAGACAGGGATACAATAATAACAGCTTCACACGCAAGGAGCTTAAAATCTGGTAGATCTCTGCAGATGAAGTAATTCCTTTCCTCCTCTGTTCTCCTGCAAAATTTTGCTATTTGCACATACCTCTAAGGTCACATTTATTACTTTTATAACTATTTCTGAGTCTGTTTCCATCGCAGGGCTCTAATCATCTTGAGGCCAAGGATTGTTTGTAAAGCTTTACTGAGGTATAGCATCCATTTAAGATGGACAATTCAATATTTACAGAGTTGCTCAATCATCTTATTTTAAATCATTTCCATCACTCTAAAAACACACCTTATGCTCATCTGCCAACTTCCTATTCCCACACCCAACCTAGGCAAACACAAATCTACTTCTCTACAGATTTGCCTTTTCTGTACTTTTCATATAAATGAAGTTTTATACTATATGGTCTTTTTGAATGGGATTCTTTCACATAGCATAATCTTTTTCAAGGATCATCCATATTACAGCATGTATCAGTTCATTTCTTGCCAAGTAACATTCTACTGTATGGATATATATTTTATCAATATTTATCCATCAGTTTTTAGACATTTGGGTTGCTTCTAATTTGGGGCTAATATAAATGATATTGCTATGAACATTTGTGTATAAGCTTTTGTGTTGGCATATGTTTTACTTTCTCAAGTATATACCTAGGGGTAGAATTACTGGATCATACAGTAACTCTATGCTTAAGAACTGTCAAACTGTTTTCCACAGCCACTATACTATTTTACATTTCCACTAGCACATATGAGGGTTCTTTTTCCTCCACTCTCTCAACACTTGTTATGTGTTTTTTAATATGGCATCATAGAGGGTATGAAGTGGGATCGCTGATGGGTAAATGATGTTGAGTATCTTTCCATGTATATTTTCTTTGAAAAAAAGTCTATTCAAATTGTCCATTTTTTAAGTGGGTTATTTATCTTTTTCTTGTTGAGTTGTAAGAGTCTTTATATATTCTTAGCATGTGTCCTTCATCAGATATTTTCTCCCATTTAGTAATCCTACTGAGTGTCAAGTGGTCCAAGAATCACTGGAATATTATTATCTTTGTGTTTCAAAGAACTAGCACATAATCTGGCACATTGGATTTGTCCAATAAATGTTAGATGGATGTTATATAATGCCTTACTCATTCAGTATCCCTCTCACACTTCACACCTAGCACTAGACACAAACCACAGACTTTGGAGATACAGAGACGGAATAATTCCCTCTTGAACAATGGGGATTCTGCTGAAGTAATCAGAGAAACTGGGAAAACCATTTGAAACCAATAGAACTTAATCTGTATATATTCACTGCTATCAGTCATCCCCAAAACAGCTACTCTCTCTGAGAATAAAGAAGCAACTTTTGTATAACCCATCCCTTCAGTGGCCCACACTCAGAAGTAGATATCAAAATTCTTTATCACTTAGAATACTGGCCCCTACCTCCATCCCTTAGCCAGTAGGAGATAAAGGATATGACAGAATCACAAACTATGCTCATTCCTAGCAGTAAATGATATTTTGATTTCAAGTGACTTAAGTGACCTTTCTTAAGGAACTCAGAAGTGATTCAAAGAAAAGAGACAGGCTGGCATCTGGACCACATCAGAGATGTAGAGCTAACAAAAGTGCCCCATCCTTTATGGCTACCAAGTTAGAAAGTGAGTCTTCCT